TTTCCTTGATGAAAAGCTCATCTCTCTCTTTCCTAGGCAGATCTGAACACACCCCAGCTAATTCTTCCCACACTGAGCAGTTTCCTTAGCTTGGCTGTAGGCAGCAGAGGAGACTGCAGAGCAAGGAGTGACTGAGACAGTTTTAATCTAGCCAGTTCAGGTGGCAATTAGTAACGGGCAGTGTGCCAGCTTTTCTGTTAATGCCAAGGTCCTAAAGTCACAGGAGAACATAACACCCAAATTTATTGTGTGGCCATAATATCACTGCTGGCAGCTGACTGCCGCTGCGGTCCTTAAAAGTCGAGGGAGGTTGTGGATATGGAAGTCTGCAGGCAGTCCAGAAGAGACTGGACAAGTTCGTGGAAGAAAAAAATGAGTCTGTTAAGGAGTGCAGCTTCCACTGGCTCAGGATGACTCTGAAGCACCTGAGGCAGGCCAGTATGATGGCCATGTGCTCCCAGCTGGCCTCCACCCGGCACCTGCAGGGAACAGGACTGAAGGTCGGACAAGACCTTTGGACTGACCCAGTAGAGCTGGTCTTTTCTTGTGGTATGCTCCTCTTGGAGGCAGGCTGGTTTTGAGGAAGAGAGCAGTTCTCGCCTTTGCAATCTTGCTGTGGTTTGCTGTGAACGTAAGCAGCACCCTGCTTTTCCCCCTCTCCCTCCACTATCTCACCCAAGCCCCCCCCCGAACACTTGCCATGTCTTTTCCTACACCCTTGATGGGAGTTCATGAGCCACAACACACGTGCACACACACACAAAAGCATTACAGCTATACCATGCAAATTCAAACTAGCATACATACCCATGTCCCCTATAGTGAAACCTGAGCCAGCTTAGCTTGCAGCCCTCTGGAGAGGAGCAAGTGCAGCAAGCCCAGCTGTGCTGTGCCAGTTTTGGGGGAGCAGGGGGGCTAAAACCTGTGAGAGGCCAAAGCGCTGACCCACTGAGGCGGTCCCAGGAGAGTCACTCAGGATGTGTAAAGTCTGTGGGGACCCCCTCCCCAAGGGTATTGAAGGCAGGTAGTTTTGTGTAGCTATTTACCTTTTTCTGAAAGACCAAATCTGTGCACTGACACAAGGCTCCAAGCCAAAGCATCAGAGCAGAAAAATGTTCTGAGGGACAGTTGCTGGCTTTCTTCTTTTTACGTTTAAAATAAACACTTTTTTCCTCCTCAAGCCTTGCTCTCAGACACAGCAGAAGTATTTTGGCTGCTGCTCTTCCCCTTAAAAAAAAAAAAAAAATACAATCAGGCCAAGGCAAACACCCAGCATGGGATTGTTCCACCTGGCCTGTTGATGCTTGTAAAGCAAGGGCCTTATCACGGGAAAGGTCAGGCAGCCTTAGCAGTAGCAGGTGCCGCTGGCTCTGCGTATGAGGCTGGTAAAGCTCTCGCGGCACCCCCTGAGCGGCACGCTGCACGTGGGAGCATGCAGCAACTCTTCTGCTTCACGCTGCGTGGAAGGGTTTGCCTGCAGGAGGGTGAGGCACTGGGTGAAATCGCTGAAGAAGTCCCACGCTGAAGGGCCTCGCCACCCCTTCTGCATCCCCACTTGAAATTACGGAGATGTTCTCCCTCGGGAAAAGACCCCTGGAGCCTCTCTGCGCGAGGCTGCTGCACAGGCGCGTTACACACGGGTGAGCAGGAGCGGCGAGGTTACAGCGGCACGGCACTGTTTTTTCCCCATGGTTAAATTTAAGGACACAGCGAGGGTTAGCCTGCCTTGGGAAGAGGGTCCCAGGTCCCCTCCAGCCCTGAGAGGGCTACAGCTCTCTAAATGTCGGCCAAGTGCCGTGACACCGATGCAGATCGCCCGGGCTGAATGGGTGGCACGGACAAACCCTCGGAAATGTCCGGTGAGGCTGTAGCAGCAGGGTTAGGCGCTGGGTATCTAAATGTCTCGCGATTTGGAGCAAGGGAGAGAAGTGCCGTTGTTTTGCCGTTGCCGGTTTTCAGTCTGTTCCTTCTTAATTTGATTGATGTGATTGGACTCCGTCAGCCATCCGGGGTCTGGGGTCCCTTAAGAGTTTATTTGCGAAATGCTGCCAGATATTCGTATTAACTCATCATCATCATCGGAAACCCAATTTCCTTCCCTGGCTGCGGTGGCAGAAAAA